CCGAAAGAAAAAGAAGAAGAGAGTAGTTCAGAGTTAAGGGATGTCCCCAGAAAAACCGCACCACAACCAAAACTACTCTGATTGTTCTCTTTTTCGGGTGGTACACCCCATGATGAGGGATGTACCCTCTGTTTGAACTTTCGCTTCAGATTCAAAAGGCGCTGTTCTGCATCGGTTGTTGGGCATCATGATGCTGTCTGCTTGAAAGGTAGGTTAATGCAGTAGTGCCCCTCTTTGACACTGACAGATTAATTGGCAATGTTCAGTAATTTCTTGTCATCAACCGACATTTCACTTCCTCATACACTTTTTCATTGAAATCAGTGTTATATTGACTCACCAGTAGCTTTTGCAGGTCAATCAAGGAGATCCTATTGGCAGTCATTGTGGCCATCTCCACCCCTTTACTGCATTTTCCTCCCAATGGACTGTTTATCACCCACCCTAACAGTGTTCTTACTGCATAGGGTCCATCCTTTTGTGAGTTGATCACCTGCCAATGTTCCATCACTTTTGCTGCATTCATTCCAATAAGAAGTTCAATGTCAGAGTCTATTTGTGGCAACTGAACTTTACGGAGATAAGGCCATTTCTTTAAATGCTCCTGTGTTGGAATGTTGTCCTTTGTCACTGACATAGATCTTCTACTTCAGGCAAGGGCATAAATGTGTTGCCTTTAAGCTTACTCACTTCTATTCCTAAAGCTAACATACTCTTGATGGGCCTCTCTTGTGCTATTGTTCTCCATGGTTGTGCCAACCTCTATGTGCAGAACGTAGCTGAACTGCCCGGATTAAGAAGAGCATAAGTTTGTTTGATCTTGTAGCCTTTGGCAGACTTCACTTGCACAGGTATAATTGACAGTGCACATTTAGACGTTCCAGCCCCATTGTGCCCACAAGCCTTTTGACACTACCTCTGTGACCTGGCATGGTTGCTCTGACTTGGGGTTCTCACCTTTAACCAGAAAAATGTGTAGCACAGTGGGATGCCTTTGGTTGCAGACATTATATGACAGACGTCCTTTGCCATCTTTGCTTAAGTATCCTTTACACAAACACCCAAGCCAAAGTCCCTTTTAAAAGGTTTAACTTCTCCCTGTGTGTTTTCTGAACATGTCTGAACAATGCTTTATACTGTAAGCACCAACGCAGCAGAGACATGCAGGTTTCACATCGCTGTTCATGCTTGGAGCCACTGGAGTGCTTAGTGCTACCACAATGTTTGCATAATAAACTTGGGCCTAGAAGGTGGCTTACTTGCATTGGGTCTTTTATTCCTACTCACCATTGATTCTTGTATGTGTCCAAATATTGGATTGTAGCATATCTTACCCTGTTTCTCAATGAACTGTACAAGCTCTGTGAACATGATTAGGCTGTTGGTCTAGGGTCAACGTTTTACGCCAGATGCCCTTCCTGACGCAACCCTCACCATTTATCCGGGCTTGGGACCGGCACTATAAACACGGCTTCGTGTACCCTAGTGGCTGGCTTCAACTCTGAACTGCTCTAAGGCCCATATTTGACAAACACACTGATAGGAGTGCTTATAAGATTTAGGCAAGAGCCAAAAGCAATGATGGCTGATATACAGGCTATGTTTCACCAAGTCAAGGTGACAAAAGACCACAGTGATTTCTTGCGCTTTTTATGGTGGCCACAAGGAAATGTGGAAGATGCTCCTGTAGAATTCTGCATGACTTTGCACTTGTTTGGAGCCGTTTCATCACCAAGCATTGTCAACTTTGCACTTTGCACAGAAAGACTGACCAAAACAATGCAAGGAACTTCTCTCCAGAGCTAACAAACACAATTATGGAAATCTTTTATGATTGTTTAAAATCTGTTCCCACAGAACAAGAAGCAGTGAAACTAATGTCAAGCCTGACTGCAGTTTGTCAAGAAGGAGGTTTCCATTTGTCATCAACCATCAACATCAACCATCAGTGAGCATGCACATACCAAGAGAGGCATGCTTTCCATGATAAGTTCTATATATGATCCCTTAGGCTTTCTGTTGCCACTTACCCTGCCAGCTAAACTGTTGTTGCAGGAACTGTGCCGACAGAGTTTTGGATGGGACGTGGCCATTCCCAAAATCCTATCTGCGCAGTGGACAAAGTGGACCAGGAGCCTTTTACAGCTCTCAGACTTTGGAGTTCCACGCTGTATCAAGACTTTCAGATTTTGGTGAGTTAGTTCACAGTCAGATCCATCATTTCTCTGATGCCAGTGAATTAGGCTATGGAACAGTCAGCTATCTCTCGCTATCTAGAATGACAAATGCAGAGGGAAAAGTCCATGTAGCATTCTTGATGGCCAAAGCAAAAGTAGCTCCATTAAAGTGGCAGACCATCCCAAGGCTGGAGTTAGCTGCAGCTGCTTTGTCTGTCAAAGTGGTACAAGAACATGCTACAAGAAGAACTGTCACCACCTACAAGTAAGTGTTTTGGTCTGACAGTACAACAGCCCAATCCCTGGACAACTACTCTGGCTATGGGGATATGGAATGTCATCTCACTGGGGGGAAAAGAGCCTGAGCTTGTGCAGGAGGTTGAGCGATACCGATTTGATATAGTCGCGGTGAGAGAGGGCGTGCTGACGTAGGCTTGCTTATAGCTCCCCAGCTCTCCAGTCGTGTATTGGAGTTCTCCCCATTGAGCAAGAGGGTCTGGCCGGGTCATTGATCACAGTGTGCTAGCCTACCTAGCCCGGTCAGCTAACACTCCTCCCAGATGTGACAACTCCGTCAACTTTGGTCTGCTCAACATCCGCTCACTCACGAGCAAAGGACATCTCATCCAGGATCTCCTCACCGACTGTAAGTTTGGCTTTCTCTGTTTAACCGAGACATGGCAACAGCCCAACGACTTCTCTCAACTTAACAAATCCACTACTATGGGGTTTGTTTACATCTGTCAACCCCGCAAGTTCAGCCGAGGAGGAGGTCTCGTGATAATTCACTGCGAGAAATGGAAAGTCTCCCCGGTGTCTGTTCCAACCTTCTCTTCCTTTGAATCCATCGTGTGTCAACTGTATGGTCGTACTCCTACCATCATTACAACTGTCTACCGTCCCCCTAAACCCAATAACCAGTTTTTAAACAACTTTGCTGCTCTGCTTACTTATTTGTCTACCCTCTCACCAAACAATATAGTACTGGGAGATTTCAACATCCACACGGATAATATTAATAACCCTCTTACCAAAGACTTCTCATCCTGCATGGACAGTTTTAACCTACTAATATAGCAATAATGTATTACTTGAAGTATTACAAATATACTAAAATCAATAGTATTCAATAACAATTAAATATCTGAAGGATTTTAGAGTTCTTGGCAAATTGGGTGGCTTCAATGAATAAAGTAACAACACAGACAAATACAGTTTACAAAAATAATCAAATTTATTTATATAACACTGTCAAGTTAATGATAGTGATTGAACTCAATGATCATAACAACAAAACAAGGAGTGTGTGTGTGTGTGTACTTGTGTGCGTGTGTACACGAGTGGTCCTGTAAGAGAGAGAAAGAGAGAGAGAGATGTTGCCTCTTAGCTACCAGGCAAGCGACTAAGCCCCTGAGGCGTTGTTCACATACGCGACTATGCAGTGGAAGAAGAACTGCGAGGTAGAAGGAACAGCAACAGGAAACACGTGAGGCGTGTATGCGCTCACGGAGGTGTGAAAGGGTGTTGTGTACCCGCACCAAGATGCACTCAGGTACAATGAAACAGTGCAGTCCTGAACAGAGAGAGTGAAATTGGGACTGACCCCCGAATTTAAAGGTTGTGGAGGTTACTGATCGTGACGTATGTGGATTTACTGAAAGCAGTGGACTTATGGGAGTTAAAGTCCTTAAAAGGAAAGTGGTAGTACCTACACTACCCTCTCACCAAACAATATAATATTGGGAGATTTCAACATCCACATGGATAATATTAATAACCCTCTTACCAAAGACTTCTCATCCTGCCTGGACAGCTTTGGATTCCAGCAGTTTACTAATGTTCCCACTCATACTCATGGTCACATCTTGGACCTAATTTCCTGCTCTGGTGTCTCTCCTTCCAACCACACAGCTGATGAACTCCCAATAACAGACCATTTCCTCCTCTCATTTAATACAAGTCTCCCTCTTTTTGTCTCTAAGCTGCCCCATCTCATCTCCTGCCGTAATATTAAGAACATTAACTTGGACTCTCTTGTCTCTAGTATTTACCCCCTCATGGATTTTCACAATCTAACCACCCCCAAAGAACTGGTCTCTCACTACAACGTTGGACTTCAACACATACTCAACTCTCTTGCTCCGCTAAAAAACAGGTTTGTTTCCTTCTCCCGTCCTGCCCCCTGGTTTACGCCTGAACTTCAACTCATGAAAGCCAAAGGCCAACAACTTGAACTCCAATGCAAATCCGGATTAACTATTCACAAAGACATTTACAGAAACCACATGCTGCACTACAAGGACTTCATCGCCCAAACAAAATTCAACTACACTGGTTTAATTTGTTCACATGAAGGTAACACCAAATCACTATACTCACTGTATAAGAAAATTGTCCAAGCCCCAGACTCTCTACCATCACATCTGTACTCAACTGTATTCTGTAACTCCCTCATGGCATTTTTTGATGAAAAGATCCAGAAAATTATCCTAGTCCAGAACCCACCTCTGATACTACATCTGAACTCCCCCCTTCTACCCACTCTTTTTCCTCCTTTCTGCTTCCCTCCACCTCAGAAATCTCCGATCTCATCTACAAGTCTAAGCCCTCCTCCTGTCAGCTGGATCCCCTCCCCACAGATTTAGTTAAAGCTTGCCTCCCTTCTCTTGTCACTCTCATTTCTGCCATCATCTACTCCTCTCTTACCACTGGAACTGTTTCTACCTCTTTCAAAATTGCTGCAATAACCCGAATTATTGCAGCATAATATCTTGCAGCATAATATCTTCCGCAAACACTCCATAAACTTCCACTGCTACGCAGATGACACCCAGCTCTACTAGCTCTCTAGCCAACAAACCTGACTCCAACCTCCAGCCCCCTTCTCTTTTAGACTGCTTGACTGAAATAAAATCCTGGTTCACCTCAAATTTTCTTAAACTAAACAGTAATAAAACAGAGGTTTTCCTCATTGGTACTAAATCAACATTATCCAAAACCAACAGTTTCTCTATTGATATTGACAATTGCTCAATTTTCCCCTCCCCACAGATTAAGAGTCTGGGTGTCATCCTCAACAGCACACTATCGTTTCAATCTCATATCAATAATGTCACCCGATCCACCTATTCCCACTTACGCAATATCAAACGCCTCCGCCCCTCCCTCGCTCCCCATACCACTTCCATCCTGGTTCACAGCCTTGTCACCTCCTGCCTTGACTATTGCAACTCCCTCCTCTTTGGTCTCACCCACAAGTCTCTTCATAAGCTCCAACTTGTACAGAACTCAGCCGCCCGCATCATTACTAGAACCCCTTCTATCCACAACATCACTCCTGTCCTGCAACAGCTTCACTGGCTCCCGATCAAGTTCCGTATTACCTACAAGATCCTTCTGCTCACATTCAAAGCCATCCACAACTCTGCTCCACCATACATCTCAGATCTTCTTTATGTCGCTGTTCCCTCCCGCTTTCTCAGATTGTCCTCCTCCATTCATCTGACTGTCCCCTCCGCTCGTCTCGCCACCATGGGGTACAGAGCTTTCAGTCGCTCAGCTCCCCAGCTCTGGAACTCTCTACCCCCGTCCTGAGGAACATCAATTCACTCCCACAATTCAAGTCTGCACTTAAAACTCATCTGTTTAAAATTGCCTTCTCCATCTGATATTTCACTGCTGTATTTTAACTTGTTCTTAATGTTTTAATGTTTTATT